TTGTTGTATAGAAGATATTTTAAAGTGATTCATCAGGTGGAAAACGAAGATTTATAATAATGGAATGTACGAAAAAGTGACCCGAAAAACGGCGCTAACTCTGTAACCCCTGGCCCGATTTTAACGAAACTTGTTTCTATTCTCATTTCATTAAAAATATGGCACTATTGTGTGCTGTATTTAATTACAGACAAGCAAACACACAAACAATCTCGGAGTTTTAGTAGTATATAAATAATTATACACCATGTAGCAAGACAGTGTTGTTTAGACTAATTAGAATATCAGAAAATTAACAACCAACAGAGTTATGGTTGGAAATTAAGATATCCAATTTCCTGTCTCATTTTCTTTTATATGTAGGGCATTTTAATCTAGTTATTCGTATAAACCAAAATTTTTTGCCTTGTTTTTTTAAGAGTTAAATAAGTTTACAGTCAGCATCAGTTTACGTAAAGATTACAAACATGCTGCATGAATGAGTTACCTTAAGTATTTCTCAACACAAAACATTTTACACTTTATTTTCAGGTATGCAAATTATCTTTGACAATTGGAAATATTTGTTTGTGTCAGTTAAATAATTTGTTTCTTTGAAACTATGTGTACAGGTAATTGCTATGATGAATATTTAGTATTAAATAGAAGATTGATAGAGTGGTATCAACATTGTCATCCCAGAATTACTAGAAAGCAAATGGGAAATATATATTAGAAAACAAACTGTATAATTGGTATACAATACTGTACAAGATCCATGTTCATGTTTAGGTTCTGTTGTTTCATCACCATGTGACAATGTTGTTCAGAATGAATGACAGTTTTATTGTAAAAACTTGTGTGTATTTTTTACATTCTAATCCTTTCTTGTTCATTAAAAGTAGTGTGATGTATGTAGCATTCTAATTTTTATGAATTTTATTATATTTGTGTAGAACCTTAAGACCCCTACATTTGAAACTTATCTTTTATGAAAAGTTGTTCAAGTAGTAATAATCATAGCTATACTTAGCTTCCATTTTTCTCAAATAATTTCTATTTTTAAATAACTAAATTTAAAAGGTAAGATGATTGATACATAACCTAACTAATTGCTGATTTTTAAGTTAGGATGGATGAATTTTCTGGTCATTCAAGTTTAAGGTTGTAAATATCAAGTGCTCTTAATATTTATTATAGGTAGGTTATTTCCTTAGATTTTAAAAAAAAATTATAATGTTTCATGGAGATTCTTGTTTTATTTTATAGGTTATGCATAAACCTGTTTCAGAAAACTGGGGTACACAAGGTGGTTTTCATAATGAAGAAAATGAAGGACTAGCTCATGATGAAGAAAAGAAGAAATTCTTTTATCAAAAATGGTTTGTTAGTAAAAGATACTTTGTAATTAAACTATTGTGAAACTTTTTTAGATCATCATATGGAAATAAAACTTACTAAAATAGATTTTTATTTTTATTTTGTTTCTGTAAGCAATTTCTTTATAGTGATAGTAACAGAAAGGAACAGTTTGATTAAATGCAACATTTCATGTAGTCATTGAATAGTTTTACTTTATTTTGTAAGATTCATGAATGAGCCTAGAAGTTCTGCCAAATTTTGCAATTTATTAGCAATAAAATTGTACATAGATTTCACTTATATTTAATAGATAATGCTATTTTCCTTATTGTGAGTTTGCAACAAAGCAGCCAAAATGCAAAAGTTTTTGGTATATATATATATAGAAAGACATGAGTGCTATTAAGGCAATATTACTAAAGTTTTTACATAAATGATACAGGAACAGGAACAACCAGTTTTTAATGTTAATGCTATGCATTTCAAGTAACCTTACTGGAATTACTAAATTAAAAAATATGAAGTAACTGTTCATTAAAAGTAATAAAATATGCCATTGATGGAACCAGTGACTTGATCTGTGTTTACCTTGGACATCTGTTTAATCCTATCCTGAAGGGCATCCTTTACTGCGAGTGTCACAAGGTTTTAGTGACTTACATTCAATATTTTATTAATCAATTTTTTTTTATGTTATACCAATTAGTATAGCATAATGTCTTAGCCAATAATCCATATTTTAATAGCATATAACTTTTAAGTTCTTAACTTTATAAGGCAATATTTAATAAAATCCTGAATTTCCTCTGGTGTGAGACATGTGACACATTTTCTCTAAGCATCTCCTCTTCTCTATTTTATCCACCTTCCCTCCAATAAGTACGAAATTCAATGTAAATTACTCACTATAAAATCGTCATTGCTCAGACAAACCATAATTTTTATAGCCTTCAAAATTTATTTGGTTACAGAGTTATCAAATAGAAAATCAGACCCCTCTTGCCACATCTACCTATCACATCCTGTCTTTCAGGATTTGTCAATAGTTCTCTCTGACATTCAACTGTATATTATTTATAACCAATAGAAAAAGGCAATGTTTTCGTCTATCAAATTACATATTATATAACGTTTTCTGAATGGAGAATTGTCAAGTACAAGCTTTCTTCCCATGGGAAATGTAACGACTATTTCTTGTCACATAGTTAAAAAGCCAGAAAAATTGTGAGAGTTAGGGGAAATTGTCTATTTTTTGCATGTTATTTGTCTATGTTCTTTGGTGCATTATTTAATTAAATATAAATTATTTAAAGTATTACTACCATTAGTATAAAAAAAAGTAGAGTCAAGTGTCATCGACAATCGACAGTAAGAAAAAAGAAGATTCGGGTAAGTACTTTGTTTCCTGTTTTTCATGTTTATTCTTTATTTATTATTATAAAAGTAACTAAAATGTAAAAATAAGGATCTCTTTAAGTTAGTTAAGGTTAGATTAGGTAAAATAAATAATAATACAATAAAAATGTTTCACAAGGCACGCATGTGATCAGCTCGTGGGTAACATAATTCAATAGCGTAACATGACCTCCACGTTTCCCAGATGATTTACAACTTACAATGGTGAAAATAGTATTTAGACATGGTTCAAAGGGCAATAAAACAATAAAATTTAGTTATAAATGGATGTATACTGTTACAAGTTTAAAGCTACATAGGAATAAACAAATGTAGTTTAATGTTACAATTTGAAGTCATTCTAGAAAGAAAAAAGGGTAATTTAGATTTATTTCAAGTTTTTTTTTTTTGGTGGTTACAAGATCAGTCAAATTGACCAACATTGTATAGAGTTAGGGTAGAGAAAATAACAGATAACATATAAAGTTTTACTGAAAACAAACACTTGAAATGTATTTAGGAGGTTTTAGAGATTACACAAATCATATCTGAGATTTTTGAGATGAAGAAAAGTATTTTTAATCTTAACATGAAAATCACTTTGCAAATGGATTATTCAAAATAAATACTCAATATATTCATGAATATATTGTTATGATATTGTAACATTACTCTGTAATTAAACTGTCTTACTTCATGGATGGACTTTTCCAGAGTTAGACTGTATGTGTCATTTTTAATAATGGACATTTTTTTTATTAAAATTAATGTTGTTAAGGTGATCTCTAGGAGTAATATAGGTGAAAGAACTATTCTTTATGATTGTAGTTGTTATTTTAGCTGTTTTAAACTTGTAAAGAGCAAACTAAGAAAATATACTACAACACTAAGAAATGTAAATCTTGAAGAATAAAAGTATAATCTCAGACTGACTTTTAAACCTCATAATCATATTAGACTAATATTTTTATTATAAAGCTAGTGTTCTTTGATGCTGATTTTAAACTTTATGGACATTCACTGCTTCAATTTCTTGGCAGATCAGTTATTTTATAGCTACAAATTAAAATGTAAATTAAAATTTTGTAATGCTGATGTAGTGAAGTTTCTTCTTAAGACATCTGTATCATTTTACAGTGTATTATTATAGTGTAAGTTTTATTATTCTTGAGGCATACCTGTATGTTATTTATGTTATAGAGTTTGAAGGTGCCATTACACTGAGCATTTTTGAATTCTTGAGATATACCATATTTTATACAGAGCTAGTACATTACTGTGTTTGTTTCTTGTTCATGAGACTCATTTTTAAGATTTTCTTGTCACAAAGCTAGTACAGTGTTATTTATGTTTCTTGGTTGTGAGACTCACCTTTAAGGTTTTCATGTCACAAAGTTAGTACAATGCTGTGTTTGTTTCTTGCGCATAAGACTCACCTTTGGGATGTTGAACTTTTTACAGGTACAAACATCTATGTTTCTGTTACCAAACTAAATTACTTTTAATGAATTAAGCACATTCTACTTTAGTACATAAAAAAAATCTTCTAGCTATTCCCAGACTGCTATATCTTATAATTACACAGAGTTAGAATACACTTATGTTTTTCTTTTAAATAATTTATTTTTAGTAATAATTCACTGAAATATGTTAATTTTCTTACCATTATTTGTGTATTACAGGTATGAACCTCAGATTTGTCGCTTTGAAGACCCTCCAGATCTTACAATACCCAACTCTAAAGATGTCAGACAGTTGTGTATCAGTTGCAAAAGAATGACTAGGCTTCGTGAGGTAGTAATTTTTACCAAAATAGCTGATTTGTTTTATTATTCTCAGCACATATAAAATAACTATATCTGAGGAGAATACCTAATTCAACAACTTTTATAAGGTGTTTAGTGTTTTCACGTATGAGATGATTCAGATTCATTATTGATGATCCAAATAACTTAATGTAGCTAGTAAAGACCTATCTTTTCCTTGCTTTTTGTGATAATTTGCTTGTAGTACCTAAGTAGTTGCTATCCTACAAATATTCTTATAGACATTTTTTATCGTATTCAGAAGTTAGGACCTAAGCATGGTTTTTTCTAATGGAATAATAAAAACCATCTAACAAAACTACAAGATTATTTTCCTGCATTCAGTTTCTGACTATACATAAAGCTTTTGAGTCCAAAGTCTGAAAATTAGCAAACTTTGATGCTAATTTTCTTTCAATACTCCATACATCTTAAAGTATTTTTCTATCAGTTTTCACATCAACACTCACAGCTCTGTTTCAGTCTTCCACTCACTAACACCTTTCTAATTCAGTTGTTTTTTACAAACTAAATACTAAACCAGCCACAGTTATATACTTACATTGATCTAATTAAAGTTTATGCTAGTATTTCAAACTTTTCTCCAAAAGAAATAAAGGGTAAAGCCATTCAAAATTCTTCATAATTCACATTTTATAATTATTCCTACATGTTAATGAGGTGAAGAAGAAATGGAAATTGCTTGAAACATTGACAGAAACTGTGTCATGACTGATATCAACTGTGAAAATAGTTAGGCACAGCAATTTCATTTCCAATAAAGCTTTCTCTTGAAAAATATATTTGTTGCCTATACCACTTTACACGTTATGTATGTATTTAAGCAGTGTTTTGTATAAAAAGTAAAAAGTATGTTTTGTTAACATACTTTCACTGATATGAATTAAAATTTCTGCTTTCATAATGTTTTTTGATTGTTGTAGTTTTTTTTATAGATAATTTCTTACTTATTTTGGTAAGTTTATATGTGGTAAAAATTTTTTAAGAAATTTTGAAAAACTGATAAAGTGACAAGTAGTTAAATCAATCTTAGTAATCAAATGCTCTGTTGGCTGTTATATTTCTTGAGTAAAATAATAAATATATTCAAGATTGTAAAAAACCTTGTTTAGCTGGAAATAGCACAAGTAGGGGAGATTCTGGAAGACCGAGAAAAAAAGATCTTTTATAAAGCTGTGTCTTGGAACACGCGAGATTTCAGAGTAGGTGACTGTGTTTACCTTCTGCCAGAAGCATTTTCCTTCCCACACAAGTCTAAGACTCAGGGATCCAAGATGATTTCCAAGAAAGATGTAAGTTTGCAAGCAATTCATTTTGTATGCATCAATGACTTTCTTTTATGGTTCATTCTGAAAACTTGAAATATATTTTTCAAAAGGCAACCAAAACTTTAATATTCTAGACAAACGTTTTGTGTAACTTGATTAACTTAAAGGGTATAACATGCAAATACTACACATTGCACTCCCTCATAGTGTATATTTCATATCTGTAAAAATTTTAATTATTCAAGAGCTCTAATTTTGATCATACCAAATCTAGTCAAGATCATGTGCTAAATTCAACCTTAGGTGTTACTTTCTATAACAGGATCCAACCACTGAAGTTATTGACACTTCTATGGGAGAGTTATATTGTGCCCTACTTTACCTTTTGTATAAATCAATGTTCCATGATTGTCATGAAACAAAGATATTTCATAATTCTTACTATCCAATTTTCTGATTGGTCACTCTCGGTTGAGACTGTCAGTGACCTTATTTTTAGTGAGATGGAGATGTATTCTGTCTAGTGGTGTTTCTCCAGGGGTAATGAAGGTGATCCTGGACATTCTGGAAAGAATGTAGATTCACATTTTCCAGCACCTTCCTTTATTCTGTTGGCTTCTCAGGAGGCCTCTGGCTCCTTTTCTTCAATTGGTCCATCTAGTGTGTGATGTTTTGGGTCTTTCCTCAGTTTCTTTTGAGCTTGCACCTTCCTTGATGGCTGAAAGGTCTCAGAGAGAATACTTAGTTCTCCCTCCATCCACTGATATTGTGGTTCATGCAGGGAGGTTTACTGCTCAGTTAAGTGAAGGGTCAGCCATACCTTGTCTCCCACAATTGTCATAACTACATAATTTAGCCTACCACTGCCAAGTGGATATGTATTCAGACTCTCAAAGAATACACCTGTTCCTGGAAGTTTGGACTTCTAGATACAGAGTCTGTAGTCAACCTGAGTAGATCACAACTTTCTAGGATTTGTCTCACCCTATATACAGTGCTAAGATATTTATTATCCCTCCAACTTTTGTTGGAAGACTCTCAGGATCACAGGGGATCATAGTTCCGCCCCTGTTCGAGGGTCCCGACTCCTGACATCAGCCCCTTGGTCCATTTGTACCCAGAATAGATTCTGTCCATATCCAAGTGATTCCTCTGTTTGGTTAGAATGCTGCCAGTGGTGATGATGACTATTGTATGCTTTTGGGGTCTATGTGGGCTCAGCTCCGAGAATTTCTTTACCACAGATCTGTGGGCACTAAAGGTCCTTGAGTCAGTATTAGTTATTCAGTTCACGTCTTCACCACCATTATCCACCCAACCTGTAGTGTTTCCACCTCCCGCATATACTCAGATTTCGGAATTACTAGGGCTATCAGAGTTTTGTTGGTCTAGGGGGCAGTAGAGAAAGTCATTCCAGTTCTTCCAGGGTTTTATTCCTGTCTTTTTGTTGTGCCCAAGAAAACAGGAGATTGATGTCCAGTCATCAATTTTTCTCATCTTTAGCAATTCCTAGCTCCTCCTAGGTTCACAATGGAGTGATTCCTCACTCCCATTGGCATTTTTTACTAGGATTGTGGATGTTCAAGTTCGATGTTGCCGACTTCTATCTGCACATTTCCATAGCAGTGTAATGGGCAGCGTCCTTAGGGCAAAATTGTTGGATTTTCAATTATACTGCCAGTCACACCAAATTTACTTAATGGAGGATCTGTAGTAGCGAGTGGAGCTCACAAATCGCTAACTCGAGGTAATTTACAGTTAGAATAATAAATCAGAATCCCAGACCAACATTGAATAAATTATAATAACATTTATTAAACATTTTCATATAATATCCAATATAAATCACAGTTTCATTAATTGTTAACTTTTTATAATCTTTTTAAGAAACGTTAATTAATACATAACAAGTACACTTCTTTAGTATAACATGAATATCCTTTTAATATTATTTACATTAACTGATCAAAAGAAACTATAAATCTATACTTACAACAGAGCCAGACTGGTAAACTTTTGGGGTTTCGAGACTTCCAGAGTCATATTTACGAATGATTCTAGAACTTCGGAGGAAATCCTGTACTCTTGAAGGAGACTGACTTTTGGTTTCAGACAGGGGTTTTTAAACCATATTTTCTTGGTATTCTCTCAACCTTCCAAATAGTATCCAGAACTACCTGCAAGTAGTTCTACCACTTCATTGGTTGATCTGTGCAATTTCCTGGGCTAATCCAGAACCATAACCAAAACTCTCAAGTGATTGGTTACTGTTAGGGTGAGTTAGCCGGTTGCCTCTCTACTGGTACCAATACACTAGCATCTTGTAGGGAATATGGCATCAAAGTACCGCTTTTGCTAGTTAACTTCAACTTTTTTGTAGCTTCTGCAGTGCTAACGAGTTAGCGTCAGTAATCCATCACAACCTGTCATAAGTGCTCGTGCACTTACTTCGTTGCTAGGCAATATCTCTATATGCTTTTCAATGTCACTGATTATTTCATAATACTGATGTTTTTAATCACGCCATTTCTCCATGTATATGTTCATTAAAATATTCAGAAAAATGTTACAACTTTATTTTTAACTCTTTTCAACTATTAAATATACTGAAGCAATTACAAAATTCTCTCAAAAATATTCAATTGTTTCAGCAGCAGCATCCTGCCACTATCTGCATTTTGTGCATAAGGGTCAGGTGCTGCAGTTCAGGGCTCTGCCCTTTGGACTAACACTGGCACCATAGGTGTTCTGCTGAATTGTACGAGTTTTTCTTGCTACCTCCTTTCCCTAGGCCTGTGCCGTGGAGGCATTATAATGTGACAGTCAATCCCACTATTTGTTGGTAAAAGAGTAGCCCAAGAGTTGGCAGTGGGTGGTGATGACTAGCTGCCTTTCCTCTAGTCTTTCACTGCTAAATTAGAAACGACTAGCACAGATAGCCCTCGTGTAGCTTTGCGCGAAATTCAAAACAAACAAACAAAGCTAACTTACAAAAAAAAAGTATCTAATAGGACAGTGTGAATATTAGACGAATAAAATATTAACCTGCTACAAGCCAAAAAACAAACCTAGGTTGCAACAGGCTCTGTAGAAATGAGGTGTTCCATAAGACCACCTAGAGATAGACCAGGGGGTATTACTGCATGATGCTGGACTGCTACTCATGGACTATCATGAGTAATGCATAAGGGGATCCTGCCCGTCCCTGCTGATCATTGGATTGTAGAAATCGGGGTCGGTTTGCTTTTAAAAATTTAGGGAACTTGGTTCACCTATTGCGCTGTTTCCAGAGCATTGCTCCTTGGGACTTCCCAACATGCATTACCCCCCACGTTTCTCTACTAGTGGAGCTGGGGAGTTCTTATCACTCCCGGTTTCCAGTTTGCTTTTAAAAATTTAGGGAACTTGGTTCACCGATTGTACTGTTTGCAGAGCATTGTTCCTTGGGGCTCCCCAACATGCATTACCCCTACATTTCCTTCTAGTGGAGCTGGGGAGATCTTATCACTTCTGGTGTCCAGTTGCTGGGGTGGTGGACAGAGGCTATTCCTCTAGAGTGTTTGAGTGACTTTCGTTCACTCTTCGAGACGAGGGCAAAGTTGGGGGCCCTTATACCTGGGTTTCTGGATGTTTTTTTCTGAGATGTTGGTAGGAGAAGCACCAGCCTATGTGAGGTCCTACTTATAATACCGGTTCAGATTTGACATTCCACTATCAGGTGGGTTGAGCATAGCCCTTCTTTTTGATCAGTATTTGTTCAGTACATTGTTCATGGAAAAAGGTCCATTGTCTCCTTGTAATTCTGAATGCAGAGTGGTCCCATACTGGGTCCTTGGTTGAGCACAGTTTGTTCCACATCCTCCCCATAATTATGGGGGTAAGTGGAATTTACCTTGCCCATACAGTTGGGGAGTGAGGATGAGTGTTCATAATTCCAGGCTGGATGAGTTCTGTTTCCTCAGGTTGAGTATGGCATACAGGATTTCTTCATTCTGAGTTTGGAGTGTTGCCTTTTGAGGAGAGGGTTTGTCCACTTTGGTGTTGCTTACCTTCTTGTCTTGATTCAGGTGCATCACTTTATAGCTACAGGTTGGGATCCACTCACAGATATATATATATTGCAGTCCAAATACCCTAGCCACCAACATGGGATTTAGGACCCATGGCTCTATAATTCAACCCTGAGCAGTGAGACCTCTGCTATATGAATGAGGTGCTTACATACAGTACCAGGATCGAGGGTGCATTGACAAAGGTGGAGCGTCACGAGACAAATATCGCCAAGGGCAATTAAGAAGGGTATAAAAGACTGGAGCAAGTGAGAAAAAATCTATGTGCTGAAAGTTTATAAACATTATTGTTTAAACAGAAAGGGACATTAGTTTATTGATTTTTTTGGTAGTGGAAATGGATAATTAGCCTGAACAATTATCCATTTATCTGACCACATTACACATTTCCTTTGGTAATGGTCTAATCCTGATGATCTAGGCACCACTGGAAATTTTTTTTTCTTTTTGTTTTTTGGCAGAGCTAAGTGGTTTAAGTAGGGGGCACAGTTACCAAAGTTACTTTCCCACAGCTAGTTTTTATGGGTCAGTAAGTATTAATAGGACTTTTCCCACATTGTAGGCCGATACTTAATGCATTATTGGGAAAGTGTGTCTTAACAAGCATGGCTCTGTAATAAACAATACAATGGGTGGGTTCATTGCTATGACCCCAATAAACACAAGACAATGTGCAAAGCTTGTTAAAGAACATGGGACATAAGCATGATTGGCAAAAGTATGCTGAAAAATCACATTGAAGGGCCAAAACACATTGAGAATGTGCAATTACTAAGGAAATCAAAAAGTGGAATAACTGCTTACATTGAAAGATTTATTCAATAGGCTTAAATCTAGTCCTGATCAAGATTAGTGACAGTGACAAGTTGTAGGCCTAAAGATAGTCTGGATACCTGCATGAAGTCTAGACTTATGGATGACTTCATTGTTAAAATACTTTGAATATAAAATTGTGAAGCCTGAAATTAGATGGACATTGTATAGTATATACAACCATCATTCAGGATAGAAACAAAAACTTGAGGAGAATATGCCAAGATCTAAACATCTTTTGATAATTTATAAAATTAAACAGATACCGACATTTTCTATAACAAACTTGAATGTTCTACAAAGCCACTGTGGGAAGCCAGGAGAAAATCTTAATAAGCTACTTATATTGTCTGCTTTTGTCACTGTTAATAATATATTAATTTTTGTTTGTATTTGAAACATGTTAAATTTACAGAAAGCTGCAAGCATAGTTTGTTCAGTTTAGCCTTTTGATCATTATTTCACTTAAACCAGTATGATAGACTAGCATGTATTTTTTACAGACATTAGAGCAATAGTTTGTAACAGTCAAATTTAAAGTTAAGTGAAAGACACTTTTAAAATTAAAGATATATTATAATAGACATTTCATTAAGTTGAGGTTGCTTATGAAAACTGATGTCATTGTTCTGTTCAAGCTTGGATGTTTGTTAGTTTAATATCAAGTTTTATGTTTGTTCAAGTAGTTATTTGTAAAGAATTAAGATACATCTTCTGATTAAAAGTTTTAAACATAAAATTTATACTTAACTGTTGGTTACTGAGCTGTATATTAGTCCTTGAAATTGTCTGAGGGGGTCCTGGAAAAGTCCTCAAAGTGCTTGAAATTGATTTTCTCAGTTGTACTGTATGAATCACTAATCATTATTGACCAATTATACTGTTGTAAAATCAGCAAGTGTTTAAAGATCCGTTAGTAACTGGATGATTTCACATTAATAGTGGTTGACTCGTGTTAAAGTCTTAACCAGAATAAATTACATAGTGATCAGACACTGACTTTTCTTTCTAGTTTTGTAACATCAAACATTATACTACTACCAATCAGAATCAAGTAACTGGTTAGCAACATTCTCCAAGTGCTTGTCAGGTGGGCACTAAAGTATGACTGACCAAGTACGAAATGGCAACAGTCTAGGTTGGCATCAGATGCAGTAGGGTGTAGTAACAGTGGTCTTCTGAAATAATAACCCAGTTACAGAAATAGAAATAAATTTCAGAAAGCGTGGAAGTTATAAGCTATAGGAAGATTGAGTTCATTGCCTGGATACCACAGAATATATCTCACTATTGTACTGTAATTTTGTAGTTTATATTGAAAGTTTATATGAATTAGTCATTGTTCACTGTAGCTGTTTATTGTAGAGTGTGAGTTTATAAAAATTGTACACACATTCAGTATGAGAACTTTCTAAAAAAACTATTTTTGATAAAATATATCATAACCGAGTTCATTTTGGTTAAAAATATAAATGACCAATTTCCCTATAATATTCATAATTCTGAACTGATTTAACTAATCAATATGAACTGATGAGGTACACTGTGATATGAGCTTCTCAGTGATTGGTCAAAACAAGTGTTTATGTATGTTAATTTTAATGGTAACACCTGAAAAAGAAATTAACAGTGTAAAAATATCACAACTATATCAACATTTTCTTCCAGGTGGATGAAGAGATGTATCCAGAGTATTACCGTAAGACTGATTACGTTAAAGGATCAAATCTTGATGTTCCTGAACCTTTCTGTATTGGGAAAATTAACAGCATATTCAAGCACAATAATCAGTTAGGAAAGAGCAATAGTATAAAATTAATAGTGACTAAATTTTATAGGTAAATGAGTATTTATTTATCTATATTGTAATACATGTTACACTAAATATATACATACCAGATGAGATAACAAACATTGAAAAAAGTCATATTAAAGATGACAAACTTATCCAAATATTAATTTAGCTGATTTATTTTTTTAGGCATTTTAGACATGATTGTTTATAATGATTTCTGTAGAACTTTCAGAACAACAGTAGATTTTTCTTTGGGAAAAAGAAGAAAGAAATGTCAGTATAGTGTCAAGCAAGGTTCAGGCAAAAGTGTTTGGAATCTATCATGCAGTATAAATAATTAACTAAAGGGTAAAAATAGAATAAGGTTGTATTATCAAACTAGAACTAATCAGAAAAAATTGCTGATATACTTGTGTATAAAGCACAAAAATGTGTGTGTCTGTCTGTTTGTTTGTCCATTATCTAACTACTTGATTGCTGGGCCAATCTCAACCAAACTTTATGTGATGATAATTTGGAACAAAGGGCATGTTATTGGGGGTTCACAACCCTCTCCACCCCCATTATTGCTGTTATTGAACATTTATTATGTTTGATGTAAATTAACATTTACAACATTCACAGATGGTGCCACATCCTTCCACCAAATAAAAAACTGTTAAATTTTCTATAACACAACATACACACAGTGTGGAGGGAGGGCACACAAATGTTCCTATATATCTGGGACAGTGTGCTATCACTCTCTGTGGAGGAATCCAATGAAAAAACAATGGCTACAACTATTTCAATACAGTAGTCCCTCTTATATACAACTAACCTATCTGCCGTGATAAAAAAGTTGCATCTGACAGGAAGTAGTTATTCAAAGGATCAATAACCAGATAACAAATGACCAAGTTCAAGCTGGGCCAGTTGCTATTTCCAGAGGTTGAGCATAATGGTTTATATACTCTACAAGTCATCAGATAACATAGCAAATTGGTACACTGTATAATAATAGTTATGATGGATAACAGTTTAGTAAAGATAACTTAAAATTGTTTTGTTTGTGTTTTATGTAAAATAATTTATTCATCAATCACCCATGTATCACATTTTTATTACATACATATAAAATATCACAAAGTGACACAAAATTTATTTCATAAAAAATTGTCCACCTTTGTTTGTTTTGCACATTTAAAGGAGTCACTTTGAATATTCAAGAGTCTGGCAGTTATTTTATCAAGAAGCATTTCGTTGTGAGTTTTCATTGCATGATTTTAGCATCAATTTATAAAATAATGTGTAATAAATGTCCAGAATTCTACAGCAGAGAAACCAGAAGAAAATTGGAAATCATATTCTCCGAACATAATAAAAAAAAAAAAATCCCATATTTACCACCATTGCAATTCCAACAATCCATTGTATATTTATACAAAGTGCTGTTATTTTAAAGAAAGAACCAAATATTGCCCACCCTAAAACAAAAATTCACCTTAAAAACTTGGATCCTGTGATTCCAGCTCTGAAAAGGGATCATTCTTCAAATTTAAAAGAACCAGTAAAGAAATAAGAATAAATATCTGAACTAAATTATTGCTAGACTCTAGCCAATACCTAATAAGGTAATCCTCTCTGAACAGAAATACTACATAAAATGTAATATGTTGCATTAAAACAATTTCAAGTTGATTAAAAATTCACGATTTCCATGTTTCATTTATTTTGTTGCTTTCGTCACAACTTTGGTCTATGTGAATGTCCACATCACGTTTCGATATCAACACTTGAGCCTTCTTCTTTTTCACAGTGACTTCCTATTCTCAGCTTGAGACATTCGCAGATATCATGGATGCCTTAAGGCATTTCATTAGCCATGCTTACTGCACAGATTAGTCGAGTCTGTCACTCAACAAACAGTGAGTTAACAATCTACACACCCCGCTTGTAAATCCTAATCAGGGTACCTAATCTCTAGGCCACTAGCTCAAAATCTACTACATTCACTAAAAGAATAAAACTTAATTCCATGAGTGGTGCGAAGACAAACAACAGTTTCTGACATCTCCTGGTTACCTTTCAGAACCTGAAAGTTTTTAAACCAAAATATTTACATGCATGTACCAAGGAGTTTGATTTGAACATCCTGGGGTACCAAGATACATATACTAAGTTGTGAAGCAATCTCTGGTCATGTGGTATCTTTGTTCCATACTGTATACACTGTATTCTTGTGTTTCTGTAAATTACATTATAGATATGAAGAAAAGTTGTTATAGAGAGGACGTTATTCGACCTTCTGCCAAAAAATCACGGTTGTATGTCACATTTGTCAGGAAGTTGTTCCTGGGAGGTCAGATTAATGTAAAATCATTATGTGCACTGAAAAAAAAAGTCATATTTAAAAGGAAGTCATTATTGAGAGGGGTCATATTCACCAGGGACTACTGTAACACATAAACTCATATGAATTTTTACTACAACAGTCACCATAACACTGATATGGAGAGCCATTTCTTGAGTTATACCCACTTTCTATTTTGACTCGTGACTTTACACCTTCATTCTGTATGACACTTCTGTGGCCAATGAGTGTCAATTCATTAATTATTTAAAAACAGTGTGGAAATACATTAATAGCTGGGTGTTGGATGCTACCTCTTTGTGGAAAGTTACCCTGACTATCACAAAGTGTATACCATGTTTTAAGTATATACATAGTGAGTTCTATAGCTTAT